AAGAACTGAAGCTTTTGTCTGAAAAACTCAGTGAGATACTGTTCCTGTATTTACTTGTGGATAATCGGGTGCCCTGGTATCATCTTTTCCAGGCCGTGGGACGCTGTCAGATGAGCATGCTGGAGTGATATCTGTGCTAGCCCAGCAAGCAGCTAAGCTTACCTCTGACCCCACAGACATTCCTGTGGTGTGTCTAGAATCAGATAACGGGTGAGTAGATGTCAGCAGACCCTTTTCCCTGGCACATGTGACAGGTCTGCTTGTAAGCATCAGTGACACCTTACTCATAGAAACATAAGAATCTCTAAAGCTAATGTCTGTCAGCCTGCCAAGGAGAATAGTAAGTGGCATAAAAGACTAATCAAAGTGTGGGAACTACTTCTAAAGTAGTACAAGTACAAAAGGTATTCCAAGTCAGAGTCTTCATAATAATACGAAATGAGAAAATCAGTAAAAAAAAAAAAAAAAACTGTGCAGTGTGATCAGTTTTATACAAGGAAAAATAATGTATATATATATGCAAATAAAAACCCAGGAAAATTATTAACGGTAGTTGTCTGGGAATAGAATTAAAGACTCATTTCAGTTTTGTATTTTACATTTATATTTCCCAGATGTTGTGTGTGTGCTGCAAAATACACTGCTTTTTAAAACTGTACAAACCAGACAACATCTTGTCCTGCTTGTCATATTTTATGGAATATTCTCTTTGTCCTTCAGGAACATTATGATCCAGAAACATGATGGCATCACAGTGGCAGTGCACAAAATGGCCTCCTGACCCTCTGCTCGGCTCTCCGCACCTCACAGGAACTTGGTCCTGCGTGTTATAGACTAGTAAAGTTCCCATAGTTAGACCCTTCATTTGACATGCACTGCGCACTGTCCTATTTATTTCAGAGTTAGTTGCTTTTTCACACTGTGTGGACAGACCTGTTAAGTTTTATTAAGGATCATGTTGTAAAGCAGATCCGAGTTACTTGTGCTATAATTTTTGTTATGTCCAATAAATCTGTTTGAAGGAAATCTTGATTTTTTTCTGGATTATCTACTCTTACTAAATGTTCAATTAAAAATTATCAAATTATAATTTTTTTCAAAAAGGTCTCCAAACTACTTCCACTTTCTGAAGCTTCCCAATCCACATCTGCTTAAATGTCTATGAATATTGAAATCAAGCATTTTTTTCTTCATAATAGTTCATATCACAAGATGCTGTATACTAGAAATTCACTTAATTTTCACTATTAACCCCATACATTAGGTACTCTTGTTTGCCCTGCTTTACAGGCATCTGACTAAAGCTAAGGGATTAGCAGTCACCGTTGGGAGTCAGGACTCCCAACACATAGCCCTCTTAACCACGCAGGCCACCAAATAAGGCACCAACACTGTCGGTGTTTATAGCTCACAAAAGAATTTGCATAGAGAGGCACAAAAGACCTCCAAGTGTTGTTCTTTAGCATTTTAACAATTATCAACATAGAAATATTTTCAAAATATTTATCTCAAACCAGTAGGCATCTACAATGTCTATGGTGCTAGGCGAGGATCATGATTTTGAGTAGGACATGGCTCTGGCCCTTAGTCTTACCTGCCAGGAGGGATATGTGTGTGTGTTTTCAGCACACTTACCTGACATACATAGTATATTAAAAAAAAAAAAAAAGGGATAATCCAGAAGGAATATCTACCTGGCAGCAAATGTTTCAGTTTGGTTTGTGAAGTAAGTATGGGGCAACTATAAGGGCAGAAAACTTTAAGAACTTGAATAGCACCTTTTAAAGAATCCTGCATCTTATTTACAATGGGTTTTAGACAGCTGATAATAAAAATGGAATTAAAAGTTAATCTTTAGACCGAGCTAATTTTTTCTTCCAAAGGGAAAAAAACTTCCTTTTACTCATCTATGTATCTTAATTCTTAAACTTCTGAGACCCAATACCGAGCTTTTGTTGCATGCTAGACAAATAACTAAGCAATTTGCATGCATTTAGTTAATCTTCAATCTTAAAGGGTATTACCAAGCTGAAGAACAACAGTCTCTGCAAGATAATTAGCACAAAGCAGAGATACTTTGCGTTTGACTCTGAGTTTGAAGTCAAGGAGCCCTTCTGGTAATGCTTAGTAACTCTGCCTGAGTGTGCACTATGTGCTAGGCACAGCGCTAAGACTACCTTTGCAGTCGGAACAAATCTTCAATTCCTGCTATGACTTCCCAGTCCCTGCTCATTTCATGCCACATCTTATGTTATCTTGCACTCACAACAGAACCCCTCTGTCCTGCAGAGTTTTGTACATAGAAGGTAACTGCTTATTGAGTGAAATGAACAAATTAACAATCTTTCTCAGTAGTTTCTCACAACCACCCTTTCTGGGGGGATTCAGGACACTCGGTGATGAAGATGGCTGATTTCCGGGCTGTGAAGAGGAAGCTGAAGGATGATGGGTTTTTCTAGGACCATGGTCTAGGACCATGTTTTAACAGAGCCCCAAGGTGCCCAAAGATCTGGCCTACATTGGAATCAGTAGACTGAGTAAAGACTGCTCTCCCCCAGGTAGGCAGGCCTCATGCAATCTACCAAAGGCCATAACAAAATAAAGGTCTGAGGAAGAATCCTCCTGACTTTAGACTTTGACTTGGAATGGGAGTTACATCATCAAATCGCCTAGTTTTCAGGCCTGGGGACTCAGGCCAGCACAGAATTATGTTATCAGCTCTCCAAGGTCCCTAGCTGATCTTGGACTTCTCAATTTCCATAATCATGTAACACAAATTTCTTGGAATCAATCAATTTCAATATCATCTTCTCCCTGGAAAATTTGGTCCTGCTCTAGAGAACCTCTTTCTCTGGAGAGCCTAGACATCAGGTTTGATTGATTCAATAGCAGGGCTCCAAGGACAGAGTGTGCTATTCATTAAAGCAGGATACAGGCCCAGCGTGGTGGCCTTGCAAGCTAAAGTCCTCATTTTGAACACGCAGGGATCCCATAGGGAATCTGGTTCTAATCCCAGCAGCTCTACTTCCTTTCTGGCTCCCTGCTTGTGGTCTGGGAAAGAAGTGGAGGACAGCCCAATGCTTGGGTCCCTGCACCTGCATGGGAGACCTGGAGGAAATTCCTGGCTCCTGGCTTCGGATCGGCACAGCACCGGCCCCGTTGTGCTCACTTGAGGAGTGGATGATCGGATGGAAGATCTTCCTCTCTGTCTCCTCCTCTCTATATATCTTACTTTGCAATAAAAATTAAATAAATCATAAAAAAAGGATAAAACAGAATTAGCTGAGGGAAAAGATGGATGGGGCAAAAGACACCAGTCGCGAATTTCCAAGAATCCTTTTTCACCAAAATAACACAAGATGCACTTAATTCCTGAAGCAAATGAGCTGTGACACCTGTGAGGCATTGCCAAATGGGAAACTCATTAGAGATTCAGTCCAGGAGTGGGACTGGTCCCTTAAGCTTCCTCTGAGAGCAATATCAAACATAGTTCAGGGAAAGACATGTGTTTGCATTCACCACAAACCATGGTGTTTACAGTCTGCACAGTGAGCCACTCTTATCATTTAGGGAATGGCAAGAAGTCTCATGCAATCTAAGGACCTGGATACCAGCCTGTGGCAAACCTTGCAAACAGACCTGTTAAGGACCAGAGTCTCAAGGCTGCTGTGATTAACTTTCTTGAACAAGAACTGGACAAATACAGGCAAAGATGTAACTAACAATAAAAATTCTTTCTTTACAAAAGTTATCTACTAGGCCCGGTGTGGTAGCCTAACGGCCAAAGTCCTTGCCTTGCACATGCCAGGATCCCATATGGGCACTGGTTCTAATTCAGGTGGCCTCCCTTCCCATTCAGTTCCCTGCTTGTGGCCTAGGAATACAGTAGAGGATGGCCCAAAGCCTTGTGACCCTGCACCCGCATGGGAGACCCAGAAGAAGCTCCTGGTTCTTGGCTTCAGTTCAGCTCAACTCTGGCTGTTGCAGCCACTTGGGGAGTGAATCACTGGATGGAAGATCTTTCTGTCTCTCCTCCTCTCTGTATATCTGACTTTCCAATTAAAAATTTTTTTTAAATCTTTAATCTCCCACATGGACGCAGAGCCCCAAGGACTTGGACGATCTTTTGAACAGAAGTGGAGAAGCCAAGACTTCAACCAGTGTCAATACAGGATGCTGGTGTCATAGGAAGAGATTTAACCTGCCCACAGCACCAGCCCTATAAATGCTCTTAATTCTAGATAGTCATGCTACATAAATAAAAGTTTAAGTCCGTAAATGTTGAGAATCCCCCATTAGCTCTGCTTGCCAGTGGAATGACAGTAATAGTGGTGATTAGGAAACTGCTGCTTTCTTAAACAGCTTTAGAGCAGTTAGACCCATGTTGTGGCACAGCATCTTGGTCCACTCACTGCTTGCAATACTGCTTTCCTGTATTAGCACACTGGTTCAAGTCCTGGCTGCCCTACTTCTGATGCAGCTTCCTGCTAATATGCCTGAGAAAGCACCAGAAAATGGCCTGAGTGTTTGGGCACCTGACATCCATGCAGAAGACCCGGATGAGGCCCTAGCTTCATCCTGACACAGCCCCAATTGTTGTGGCCATTTAGGGAGTGAACCACAGGTTGGAAAACCTTTCTGTCTCTGTCTTTCCACCTTTCAAATAAATCAAAAAATAAAATAACTCATTTTTAAGAAGGCTAGAGCTTGAAGGAACTATTCTTACTTAAAGGTCCTAAAAGCTTTATCAACTCCATTGGATAAAGATGCCAAAATGTTAAGAATTCTTTGCTCTTGCTCTTAGCTCCCATCTGGTTAACCAGAATAGGTCTATCAATAATGTGCAGTCACCTTTAGTATCAACTGTTACTTCTCACAACAACCTTACAAAAACATTCCATACATTTTAGTTTTGAAAGTATTCAGAGCTACAAAGTCCAGAAGAAACCAGGTGTAAACTTCCTTGCGGAGTCACATGGCATGCAGTTAAGCCCGCAGCAATGACTTACGACAACATCTGGGAACTACTGGAGAGCAAATACCTTGGACTCACAGTGGCAGGTGAGGGCCGGGGGGGAGCGTGCTGGTCACATACACGTAAGAAAGCTTCACCTAGCACTTAAAAATGGTAAGGACTCAAAAAATGGCAAAGTTGAATTTCTAACAGAGTCTTCATTTCTCAAAAAAACTCAAAGTTTCCTACTTATGTGCCCACGTTAAAGAAGGAGGTGTAGAGCAGCTCGCCTCTGAAAACCACACAGCCCTTTTAGCCTCTGAATGACTTTTGTAACATTTCCAAACGGAGCCCAACCCTCCATTTCAAAGCTATCAGTAGTATCAAGCCTAGTTTCATCTCACCCTATGATTAGAATCACAGATGGCCCTGCTTTAAAAGAGTAACTAACATGCCACTGAGCAATCAGTCCTACAGATAGGAACTAAAAATGTTTTCTGGAATGTGGTATCTCTGAAAGGCATGGATTTCACCAAAGTTTATTTGGTCCTTATCTCCAAGCATCACATAATTGCATAGTTTTTCCATGGTCCCACTTACAGGAAACCCTCCCCAAAGACTAGACTGTCCTTCTGAAAGGGCTTTCATCAAAAAAACATTAGGACAGAGTCCAGTTTTTCAGAGCATGAGAAGACCCTTGCTTTCAAAAAGGAGCATGCATACGTATGTGAAGATTTTCCAGATAAAACAAGAAAAGCAGCTTTGGCCTAAAATAAACTTGTTCAAAATCTGGAATGTTGGTGTGAAGAGGATGAAAGGCAATTTCCTGTGGAATTTTTAAGATTTTTTTTTTTAATTGAGAAGGATGGGGCAGAGAAAGGAAATGTGTGGAGTAGAGTTATAATAGCCCCAAGGAGATGAATGAGACCAAAATGCTTGAAAGACAAGTTATTATTATAAGTAGTTATCTTTCCTGGGAGGTCTTGGAAAGTTGAGGTAAGCAAGTGTCAATAAAGCAATTAAAATGGGACATGCAGGCCTGGTGAGGTAGCCTAGCAGCTGGGGACTTCACCTTGCACGCACCAGGATCTCATGTGGGCACTAGTTCTAATCTCAGCAGCCCTACTTCCCATCCAGCTCCCTGCAGGTGGCTTGGGAAAGCAGTTGAGGACAGCCCAAAGCCTTGGGACCCTACACCCACGTGGGAGACTTGGAAGAAGCTTCTGGCTCCTGGCTTCGGATTGGTTCAGCTCTGGCCATTTCAGCTTCTTAGTCAATCATCAGACAGAACATCTTCCTTTTTGTCTCTCCTCCTCTCTGTATATCTGACTTTCCAATAGAAAAAAATTAGTTTAAATAAAAATAAATTAGAAAAACGGGACATATAACTCAATATTAGTAACCTGAACACTGATCAGTGCCCCAGACTGCCATGGTGGGAAAGGTGGGGACAGAATTTTGGCCTCAGGACACAAATAAGCCCTTACAATCTCTCCCAGGAACTTCTGAGACATTTTTATGCCTCAATTCTGAGACCCCACCTTCTACCTTAATCATCAAAATAATTTTCCTCTAGGCTTATTCAATAACTGCCTTTTAGCTGTTAAGTGGAAAAATTTTAGCTCCCTAAGGGTGCCTGGAGGAAGGGCCTGTGAGGACATCAAATTTTCCTCCTCCCTTCAGAAAATACAGTTCACCTCCACTGGCTCTGCCCCCTGGACTCTTATAATGCTCACTTGTTTTCACAGCACAGTGAGGTGAAATACTCTAGAAATATAAAGTTTTAGGAGGAATATAGTTCTTCATTCTTAATTTTCTGGTCTGTGGAGGATTCCCTCACTGAGCATATCAAGGGTAAAATGGAGATTGGTTGTTGATATTGTGTCAACAGTGTCCCATGACTGGCGCCTCCCTGTCCGCATCTAGCCTGTACACCCCTTCCCTTCAGGGGCTGGTGCAGTAGGTAGCTCTACAGCTAATCTTCCATCCACCAGTGCTGACATTCCGTAGGAGCACTGGTTCCAGTCCCAGCTGCTCCACTTCTGATCCAGCTGGCTGCTTAGGGCCTGAGAAAGCAGGAGAGGATGGCTCAAGCCCTGAGAACCCTGCAACTATGTAGGAGAACCCAAAGGTTGCTAGCTTCCAGCATCAGATCAACTCAGTTCCAGCCTCAGCCATTTGAAACATGAACCAGTGGATGGAAGATCTGTCTCTCCTTCTCTCGGGGAATCTGTTTTGCTAATAAAAATAAGTCTTTTTATTTTTTTAAGATCTATTTTACTTTTATTGGAAAGTCAGATATACAGAGAGGAGGAAAGACAGAAAGATCTTCCATCCGATGATTCACTCCCCAAGTGAGTGCAACGGCTGGTGCTATGCAAATTCGGAGCCAGGATCCAGGAACAACTTCTAGGTCTCCCACATGGGTGCAGAGTACCAAGGCTTTGGGCTGTCCTCTGCTGCTTTCTCAGGCCACAGCAGGGAGCTGGATGGGAAGTGGAGCTGCTGGGATTATAACCAGTGTCCATATGGGATCCAGGTACTCTCAAGGTGAGGACTTAAGCTGCTAGGCCACACCACTGGGCCCAAAAAATAAATCTTAAAAAGAAAATGCTTTCAACCTGACAGTAGGAAATAAGGAGTGCAGAACTTCTCCTGCACATTTTTTGTTTGCTGCCTTTCTTTGTGTATTTTACTGAACCATTCCTACCAACGCAGCAGTCCTGAATGCTGCAGCACGTGTCTCACAAGGAACCCTCCTGCACAACCACAAGATCACATCATAACCAAGACCACACCAATGCAGTATCCCTTATTAAACAGATCATACCCAAGCTTCCCCAGCTGCCTTTACAAATTGTCCTCTGCAACATTTGTTTTTCCTAATCTAAGAATCATTTAAGGAACAGGCATTGCATTTTGTTATCATATCTGCTTAGTTCCTTAGGGTATTTATAATTTTGCAAATGCTTTTTAAAGGGAACACACGAAGCACAGTGTTCTCTAAAGCACGAGTGGGAAACAGAACATCCAAGGTCCATAGAATCATTTGATTTGGCCCTGCCAAAGCAAACCCAAGCAGGACTTGAAATTCAAGCTAATTTTACGTTCACAACTTTGTATCACCCACAACTGATGTCATAAATATCCCAATGAGTCTTGGCAGAATAAAAACTTCCCACCCTTGCTGAAGTCAAGAGTTCAGAGGACAGGAAAGATGACTCACTTTGTCCAGAAACGACCTGAAGAGCTGGGTAGAAGTTAAGAACCACAGTTCTAGGCCCGGTCACACCACAATCAAAGGTCAGGATTTGCAAACCCTAGGTGAGGTAGACATCACATATAAGGAGGTTTAAAAAATCTACAGTGCAAGTAGTTTTACGTCAGAGGTAGTAAGAAGCTTAGATGTCTGGTTAAGGGAACCAACTGTGTTTGGGGTTTGTCACAGGACCCTCTGCTCTGGCTATTATGGCCACTTGGGGAGCGAACCAGAGGATGGACAAACTTCCTATCTCTCTTCCTTTCTGTATAAATAAATAAAATAAAAATAAATAATAAATAATAACCTTTTTTTAAAAAAATCTGTTTTCCCCTTTCAGGGAGCCTGGGCTCTCCAGAGAGGGGCTTAGGGCAGTCTAACAAGACCTCTTAGGAAATTCTTGACCTTTGGGTAAAGAGGGAACACAAGACATGGCCAACAACTACCAGCAACTGCTAATGTTAAAAGCCCACGCTGAAAGCTGAGAGCATCTCCCTTGAGTGAGCACAGCAGCATCCAGTCCTCCACTCTCCTTCCTACCATCCTTTACAGATAGAGAATGCTGTGGCCATCATCAGCCACTCTGTACCTTCCAGGAAGTAGTAATTTGGGGCAAGTTCCCCAGCTCATCCCAGCATATATGAAACCCTGCTGGCAGTAGCTAGGGCATGTCCTCTTTGTCCCACTAGTTGCTCACATGCCACTTCATTCCCTTAATAATCCTAACGTGTGTTAGACCTAGCATATATTTCTGCTCTGTCTGGAAAAGAATAGGATGTGGATTCTGAAGCGGGATTTGTCTCCTTCATAATAAGCAACTGCACTTCGGTCGCGACAAAAACCAGTGCACAATACGGAATGCCAAGTTGAGGTTGCCTGTACCGGATGTGACCACAGCGCCCCACCAGCAAGCGTGAGAACCAGGAAGGGAGGGGGCGGAGCCGGCAGGGGAATAAGGGAGGGTTCCTTTGCTGGACAGCTACTCCCACTGAAAAGCATGAGCTGGGATGGGGGTAGACCAGACAGGGCAGGGCTACAGCACCTGTACGCCTCATGTGGACTAGATCAGGGAAAAGCCAGGCTGGGCTGATTATTCCTACTGGTGCAAACAAAATTAGAGTGGGTGAGGGTTGTTTGGGCTTAGCCACAGCATAGCTGGCAGAAGCTGGCACTGGGGGCTAGTTCTGTCAAGTCAAACCACAGAACTACCTGGAGAGTGCATAATCCTGGAGTGGGAGTGTCCTGGGAGGGAAATAGTGGGCTCCTCCCTCTTGGGTTACCAATTCCACCGGAGGGCATAAAACTAGGACAGGGGCTGGGGTGGACTGGGGTGTGGGAGAGACTGGACTACTGCTACACATACTGGCAAACCAGGGTAGGGGGCGGGCCTGGTGGGGGTTATTGTGGGTCGCTCCAACTAGGCTGCAGCTCCCACTGGTTTATGTGAGGGCCAAGTATGTGCTGGGCAGAACCAGGCTGGACTGCAACACCAGTTGGTTCCAGTGGAAGTTGGGAGTGAAAACGGAACCAACCCATCGATCGCAACCACCAGCTGATCAGGGCGATGGACTGTGCCAGGCCCTGTACCTGCTAGCACATACAAGAATCTGGTCTGGGAACACCTCAGACAAAGTTTCTTTGGAGATTTCCCCAATCAAAATGCTGGACTCAGAACCCTAATCAACAAAAGAGAGCAGACAGATTAGGTCAACCATTCATCTCAGCCGTATGTTGGCTGCGAAATATGGGGCAAACAGAGACTCTATGATGGACTATGTCACTCAGTGGATTCTTCAACGACCTCACCGTGCTTAGAGTGGCGAGACTGGCAGCAATTCATAACTGTTGAACTATCAAAACCACTTGAGCAAGAACCTTGGAGCATGCCCTACATCCGGGACCTGGGGAGGGTGGGAAATTGGGTGGGCCTTCTCCCTTAATACCCCCCTTTAAACATGAAGGAAATAATATGGAAATAACAGCCTTACCCACTTTCCTATAGCCTTTGAACCTTTTTACCCTAATTAACTATGTAAAGACTGTCAAAAATATAATTTAAAAATGCCAAAAAAACCCCAAAAACAAAAAACACTTGAACAAGACCCTTGGAGCATGCCCCACATCAGGGACCAGGGATGGGTGGGAGATTGGGTGTGGCTTCTCCCTTTATCTCCTGCTTTACCTCAGATACAGGGAAAAAAATATGGAAAGCTAATCAAAAATATAAATAAGAAATTTTAAAAAAAATAAGCAACTGCATTAGGCACTATTTTTTAAATTAACTTCCTTTCTTCAGCTTCCCAGAGGCTTCTGGGCTTGCCATGAGAGACTGTTGTGATCCTATCACCAGCCTGCCATTCTCATGTTGGTGAATCACACCTCAGCTCTGTGGAGCTTCACAGTTTATTATAGGGTTCCCAGATCTACTCTCAACTTTTGAAATGGACCTGTAAAAACCACCTTTTCCTCCTGTTGTCCTCTCCTGTTCAACCCTCCAATAAGCAGTCCACAAAGCTACAGAACAGGAGTCCTGGTGACCGCTGATAATCTTAGAGTGCACAGTGCGCCTTCTCCCTAGTGATAGAGAAGGGCAAGCTGGGGCAGAGATGCCCAGCCAGTGTTTATTATCAAATTCCTAACAGAACACTATTTGTTAAACATTAGCGTCACTAACAAAGGTTATCTAACTTTCTTCCCCAGAAATGTTACTAAAGGGCAAGTATGGCTGCCCTAGGTCTCAGAGCCCTTCCTGTGGCTGGGCCACGTCCCAAGTCAAGCTTTGCAGAACTGGAACTGTGTTGAGGAGCTCTCATTAGTCCTCCCCAGAAACCACCCTTACTGTCTCTTCTTATTATTATTTTTAAGACTTATCTATTTTTATTGGAAAGGAAGATATACAGAGAGGAGGAGAGACAGACAGGAAGATCTTCCATCCACTGGTTCACTCCCCAAATGGCCGCAACAGCCGCAGCCGAGCCAATCTGAAGCCAGGAGCCAGAAGCTTCTTCCAGGTCTCCTACGCAGGTGCAGGATCCCAAGGCTTTGGGCTGTCCTCGATTGCTTTCCCAGGCCACAGGAAGGGAGCTGGATGGGAAGTGGGGCCGTTGGGATTAGAACTGTCACCCATATGGGATCCCTGCACATTCAAGGTGAGGACTTCAGTGGTTACGCTATCATGCCGGGCCCCACCCTTGCTGTTTAGATGTTACCCTCTGAGGATAGGAGGTTATTTGACCAATTTAGTTGCTGTTCAGAAGAACAGATTAATACATCAGTCCATTTTGAAGATACGAAGCTACTTATTGCCGTACCCTAAAAATGTCAATGAGTTCACAGGTGCATCACTCACAGTGGTGATACGGATGCTTGAGGTGACTAGGCTTGCATTTTGCTGAGTCACAAATGTGTTTTCCAGGATGAGCTTATTGCTGCAACAGGTAAAGCCACTGCCTGTGACATGGGCATCCCTTTTGGCTGCTGGTTTATACCCTAGCTGCTTTGCTGATGGTCTGGAAAAGCAGTTTTTGGGCCCTCCACCCATGTGGCAAGTTGGCATGAGGCTCCTGCTTTGGGCTTGTCCAGCCCTGGCCACTGTGGCCATCTGGGGAGTGAACTAGTACATAGAAACTCTGTCTCCCTCTCAGCAATTCTTTCAAATAAATTTTTTTCTTGAGTTCCCAAACAGTTGAATGAAAAATAACAAGTTTTGAGAGTTCCTTACTTTCTACACTTTGTATCTTTGTATACTCAATTGATCTCACTAGTGTCTCATGAGAGCAGGAACCATGTCCACATATTCTTATATGTCCCTTGACTACTATAAACTCAGTCACAGCATACAGCCTGGAACAAAGCAGGTACTAGATGGATGGATGGATGGATGAAATGGACAGACACATTGGTGAATAAGTAAGGGGACAGGTGATGAAACAGGTGATGAGAAAAGGGCAGAGGCACTGAAAGGTATCTGAAGGACATTGTTTCTTGAGGCTATAAGGAGTTAATAAGCACAGTGATGGTATCAGATTTGCATTACAGACTCAGTTCTTCTGTGGGCTCTGGTAGCAGAACAGAAACAGAAACCCAGCAAGCCTGGGACAAAGATAATAGACTTCAGAATTAACCAGGGGAAAACATAGACCTCAAGAGATTTTAATGATTGTTATCATCATCATCAACATTATTTTAAGTTTCTATTTTGAAATATGCAGTGAGACTGAAAGAAACCCATCAGTTGGTCCACTCCCCAAATGATCACAATAGTTGGGGCTGGGCCGGGGTGAATCTAGGAGCCTGGAACCCCACCTAAGTTCCTCTTCTGTGTGGCAGAGGCCCAGGTACTTGGGTCATCTTCCGCCTTCCCAGGAAAAATAACAGGGAGCTGAACTGAAACTGGAGCAGCCAGGACGTGAACAGGATGCCAGTGTTGCAAGCAATGGTTTAATCTGCACTGGAACCATTTTAAGAGTTTTTCTTTTTAAATCTCTGAGTGAAAATAAACAAAACTGGAACATTTCAAATTAAGGGATGCAAGCTGAAGTAGATGCAAGGCATTGCCCTTGGCCTTGATAAACAGTAGAAGATACAGAATCAGTTATCAAAGTTTGTTCAATCTACTCCGCGGCTATGACACACAGGACAAACTGAAGAACGCGTCACTGGCCAAATTTGAGAAGACTGAGCAGCCTGCAGACACCAGAAGAGAACCCATGTCCACAGAATAAAGGAAGCCTGTTTTACAGAATGGCGCCCCTCATTTTACCTTGCTCTTGAGAGCAATCAATTAGTGTGCCCTTTAGTCCTAAATGAGAAGCCTGGCGATTTGAGATTTGTGTTTTCTAGCCTCATTTCCTTATTTAAGTACCTGAAGGAAATCTATGGTTGCAAATAACCTGAACTGAGACTGATAAAATGTGTCTTTTTGGGCCCCGTGCTGTAGCCTAGTGGCTAAAGTCCTCACTTTGAACACACCAGGATCCCATATGAGTGCCAGCGGCCCCACTTCCCATCCAGCTCCCTGCCTGGGAAAACAGTCAAGGACAGCCCAAAGCTCTGAGACTCTGCACCTGCGTGGGGGACCTAGAAGAGGCTCTGGGCTCCTGGCTTTGGATTGGCTCAGCTGCAGCCTTTGCAGCCGCCTGGGAAGTGAATCAACGGCTGAGAGATCTTCCTTCCTCTGTCTCAGACTTTCCAATTAAAAAAAATGTTTTTGTTAAAATGTCTTTATCCCTTCATTGCCCTAGTGCCCACATAATTGCTCTAAGTTTTGCACTTTCTATCAAATCATAATTGGAAATAATAGGAGACTTCCTCCTCACCACCCCAAGTTCAGCAGTTGAACCTCATCACTGATCCTTAGGCCCCTCACCTCCAAATGATACGAGACTGAGAAGATGAAAGAGGAAGTTCTTGATGACCTAGGAACAAGGGGAAGCTAGGGAAGGTCTAAGAGGAAGCAGGTCTTGACAGGTAAGGGCATGGGTAGTATCTATCAAAAAATCAAGTTTGGACAAGTTGACCAAAGGGGAAGCAGAAAGGTCACAAAAGACACAACAAGACTGTTAGGTGCCAAAAGTGAAGTATTCTCCAGGATTTTCTCAATCTTTATAACCTTACAAAGAATAAGTATATTTCCCCAATCTTTCCAGACCTTTGAGCTAATTATAAAGAATTTTTAATTTTTGTTGTAAAGGCAGATTTACAGAGAAGACAGAAAAATAAAGATCTCCCACTCACTGGCTCACTCCCCAAGTGGCTGCAAAGGGTCAGAGCTGAGCTGATCCAAAGTCAGAAGCCAGGAGCTTCTAAGGTGTCTCCCACATGGGTGCAGGAGCCTACAGCTTCTGGGGCATTCACCACTGCTTTCTCAAACCACAAGCAGGGAGCTAGGCAGGAAGTGGAACAGCTGGGACATGAATTGGTGCCCACATGGGATCCCAGCACTTACAAGATGAAGATTTAGCCACTGATGCACCAGACTAGGGTCAGAGTTAATTAATTTCATCTGCTCACTTTACAAAAGCGGAAACATAATCTCCGCAAACGTTCACTTAAGGTCACACACACCTCTAGTGTGAAGCTAAACAGGATGCAAGACATGCATGATTGCAGTCATCATGTCATCATCATACCAAGCGTAGGTGAGTGGTAATCAAAACCCTGAGGCTGACAGACTGTATAGGGAGCAGAACAGAAATCAGTGAAAGAGAACCCCAGGTTGTGTGGTTCCTTAACAGCTTAGACCCAGGTTGAAAGCAAACAAGATAGCCTTGAAAAGTACCCAGACAGGGACCGGCATGGTAGCCTAACAGCCAAAGTCCTTGCCTTGCAAGTGCCAGGATCCTATATGGGCGCCGGTTCTAATCCTAGCACCTCCACTTCCCATTCAGCTCCCTGCTCGTGGCCTGGGAAAGCAGTCAAGGACGGCCCAAAGCCTTGAGACCCTGCACCCATGTGGGAGACCCAGGAGAGGTTCCAGGCTCCTGGAATTGGACAGCGCAGCTCTCTGATCACTGCAGCCGCTTGGGATGTAAATCAACAGACAGAAGATCCCCCTGTCTCTCCTTTCTGTATATTTGACTGCAATAAAAATAAAGTAAAACCTTAAAAAAAAAGAAGTGGGGGGGGGGGGAAGTACCAAGAAAAAAAACAGAGAAAAAGGGAAATTATCACAGTGAGCACAGTGGTTGCAGGGCTGGGACAGGGAATACAAGCTGGGTTAGGGTTAGGTTTCCTGTAAATTCTTCCTCCAGACCCTGCAGGGGATAAACTGACTGATAAACCAAAGGGAGGGGGAGGAGGAATGGCTCTTCACTGCATGCAGGCTAAATTTCTACAAACAAGTTAGAACTTCACAGAAAATCTTAACATTTAAAAGAAAAATTCTTCAGAGGGGTGAGGGTTGTGGGGTGTGGAGCAGAGCGTGGTACAGGCAAGGATTAGGTGAAATAAAGAAAAGGATGAGGCATAAAACCCACCCATTGGGAAACCATACATCAGGGTTAACCCTTGCTCCCTGCACATTCTTAGGAAATCCCTTTCATTCAAGAGTTAGATGATGCCCCCAGCCCCAAACCAGTCATACCCTGTGGCACTGTAGCATGCCAATCTCCACCTGCAGTACCAGCATTCAATATGGGTGCTGGTTAGAGTTTTGGTTGCTCCACTTCCCAAAGCACTTCCCTGCTTGTGTCCTGGGAAAGCAGCAGAGGACTGCGACTCCAGTGGTCCATACATACACATGGAGACCTACAAGCTCCTAGGTACACTGCAGACACTTGGGAAGTAAACCAGCAAGTGGAAGCTCTGTCCCTCTCTGCATCTCTTTCAAGTTAAACAAATAAAAAATTTTAAAGATTTATCTATTTTCTTTTTGCAAAGTCAGATATAGAGAGAGACAGACAGGAAGATCTTCTGTCCGATGGTTCACTCCCCAAGTGACTGCAAAGGCCGGTGCTATGCAAATCCGAAGCCAGGAGTCAGGAACTTCCTCCAGGACTCCTACACAGGTGCAGGGTCCCAAGGCTTTGGGCTGTCCTCAACTGCTTTCCCAGGCCACAGCAGGGAGCTGGATGGGAAGTGGGGCTGCCAGGATTAGAACCAGTGTCTACAAGGATCCTGGCATTTGCAAGGCAAGGACTTTGGCTGCTAGGCCACCATGCTGGGACCTAAATAAACAAATCTTAAAAAGTTGAGATGACAAAGAAAAATTAAGTTGAGATGACAAATTATATGATCAACCTACTGAGACAGGCTCAGCTCAGGAACAATTAAAGCAAAGCTAATCTAAGGACAGACAGGAATAATTCTTCCTTTTTTGGACATTTTTTCCCACAAAGGTAACAGGAGAGTGTAACAGTGGTTGGTCCCTTATCCTAAGCAACTTTTTTTTCTTTCTGAACTTCAATATGCCTTATCTCTTTAATACAATATTCATAAACATATTCTGTGGCCAAAATGAGGATTAAATGAGTTGCTTTATTGTGAAATGCTTTGCAACTGTAAAGATGCCTCTGTAACAAAAGATGCACAGGGCTCAGCACAGTGGCCTAGAGGTTAAAGTCCTTGTCTTGATCACACCAAGATCCCATTTGGGTGCTGGTTCTAATCCTGGCAGCTCCACTTCCCATCCAGCTCCCTGCTTGTGGCCTGGGAAAGTAGTTGAGCACAGCGCAATGCCTTGGGATGCTGCACCCATGTGGGAGACCTAGAGGAGGTTCCTGGCTTCCGCCTTCAGATCAGCGCAGCACTGGCCATTGTGATCACTTGGGGAGTGAATCATTGGATAGATCTTCCTCTCTGTCTCTCCTCTCTCTATATATCCGCCTTTCCAATAAATAAATCTTAAAAAAAAAAAAAATAGAGCAAGTTGGTGAATACTGGTAAACTGGGGGAATCCTAGAACTAGCAGCTTTAACCTCTGGAATAGCTGCCTTCGCACCTGACTTGGACTTCGATGCTTTAGGTAATTGTGTTTGTGATGGCGATGACCAAGTCCTCTGCAATTGTTTGTGGTCTTTGAAGAACAGTTTGAAGGCACAGAGAAAACTGGCTAGATTGGATTCATCATGTCATTACTTCATTTTTCTGCAGGTATAAAGCCTGCAATCATGATCCTGTTATTGCAAGCCAACGACCAGGGGGCAATTCAAGATTCTTGCATCAGCTTGTTAATATTGAAACACTGTTAATATCCTCTCCCTGACTTGATACCTATGTTGAGAAAATTAGGGTTCAAAGTTGAAGAATTAAGCTCCTTAATTCTATAAGACATTTCTTATGGATTTTCTTTCCATAGTCAGATACTACTTTAATGTAAGTTCACTGAAGAGACTCTCAACTGGGAACAAATTATGAAGCTGCCATCATCAAAGCATGTTGAACGAACAGAACCAGTTGCTCCTTCCCCAGCTTTTTAAGTTACAATGTAGTGTAGATGATCACATTAATGTAACCTTGTTCTAGTCATAGGCTGCTATGTGAATTTCATTTTGCAGATGTCTTATAATACATCTTCAATAAGCCTTCCTTCCGAATCTGCTTATCATCTTTTTTCTTCTTTTAATTTTCAAACCGCCTTTCCATAAAGCAAAAGAATGGCAGTATAAGAAATCCAATAGGCACAGTCTTTGAATACACAGACTCCAAAGTAGAGTCCGCCTGCTTTCCTTCCTTCATTTTCTTCACATACAGAGGGTAAGAGGTCCAAGCATGTTTGTCTAGGACATTACCTTTTATTGTTTCAGGGGCTCAGGCAGCCATTATCTATGACATACTTGGAGAGAAAATCACCTCCATTGTTGGGATTTTCTTTGTTACTGGTTCATCAGCAGCTGGGCTGCAAGCATTCCCTCTGTGTAACTATGGGCTTTTACCTGGTGAGTGCCCTGTGGACACCAGAGCAAGAAATCATCCCTTCTACTGTCCATGGATCCAAAAAGCTTATTTATTTATTTATATTTTCTCAAATCCAGTATGCATCCTCTGGTACCAACCCACTCAAACTGATTCAAAGCAACTATTTTTCTTTTGGGCTTGGGTTCTACTTTCATGTATCAAGTAGCCACAAAATACTTCAAAAACTAACTGGCTCTTGGTACAGCTGCTGCCTGTTCTGGGACGAGACTGACCTTCCTATTAATGCTCTTTCCAAAACCCCTCATGCATCCTGATGACTGGACAGGTGAGTCATTCTAAGCTTCTAAACTATCAGCTCTGCAAGAGTTATCTCCAACAGCCTGCAGGCTTTGCCAGCTCACACAGCAACCTAGAATTCACCACAGATTTCGGTGTTTGAGGACACACAGGTTACTGTGTACAGTGGAAAATACCCCGGAGGTTATGGTGACACCCGTGGGGAAATGAGGTGCCCTGCTCCCCTCATCATAGTGCTCACTTGCCATTTTCCCTTTAAGAAAAAAAAATTATATTAAAAATAGCCTTGTTCATCAAATAATTAACTTGGTAAAGACAGTCATGTTACTTAATAACTAGGCTTTTATATATTGTTCAAAATAAATTTGCACAGTATCCTTCCCTAATTCCTTTGTCCCCGAGGGTAAACATTGGTACTAAAATTATCTAAAAGGCTCAGTGCTCTGGCACTATAGGTTAAGCAGTCACTTTCAAAGCCATTCTGCTTTGACCAGTTTGAATCTTGGCTATTTTGTATCCAATCTTGCTTTCATGCTGATGAGCCTACGAAGGCAGAATATGGTCCACAAAGGCAGAATATGGTCCAAGTACGTGGGCCCCTGACGGCCCATGTGGAAGCTGAAATGGAGCGCTTGGTTCCTGGTTTCCTCCAGATCTGACTGTTGTGGCCAGTAGAAGGAATCTCTCTCTCTCTGTTCTCTTTATGTTGTTCTGTCTTTCAAAGAAATACGCAGAGGCAAGCACTGCTAAATAGCAAAGCTGCTGCCTGCAAAACCTCGAACCAGTGTCCCAAGTAGGCCACTTTCTGTCCAATTCTCATTGCTGTCTTCTGCTAGGCCTTGTTGCGCCTGCAACCACTGCAGGTGAGAGGTGTAAAAAAACTGGGGTATAAATCAGTGGATGGAAGATCTCTCCTTTTCTCTCTGTAACTCTGCCTTTCATATAAGAATACATCTTTAAATATTTTTAAAATTTATATTATTGAAAAATATCTACAAATATATATGCAAGTATGAGCATATTCATATGCCTGTTTCTACCTACGTAGCACTTTTGTTGAATCTTTCCTGAAGTTAAAAAACTATTCAGTAGTCTGGGATCCCATATGGGCCCTGCTTCTTCAGATTTTTTATTTTTAAAGATCTATTTTTCTTGAAAGGCAGATTTTACAGAGAAAAGGAGAGGCAGAGACAGATGTACTCCATCCACTGGTTCACTCCCCAGATGGCTGCAAGGACCAGAGCTGCGCTGACTTGGAGCAAGCAGACAAGAGCCAGGAGCCTTGTCTAGGTCTCCCACGTGGGTGCAGGGTTCACAGGGTTTGGGCCATCCTCTACTGCTTTCCCAGGCCACAATCAAGGAACTGGATTAGAATTGGAACAGCTGGGACAAGAACTGAAACTCAAGTGGATTCCAGAACTGCGGGCTGAAGATCAGCTTGCTGCACCACTACATTGGCCTAAAACACAACATTTCCTAATATTCAAAATATTCTTCCCTCCACCAACAGCTCCCATCATGCCCCCACCCCAACCAGGGGAAAAAAAAAAAAAAACACTTGTTTTATTCTTTCTCTTCACACAACCATCTCTCTTCCCATCCCAATCAATAAGTTTCTGGCTTTCTGCCTCAAAAAGACTCCATTTTCAGAGGATTACAATGGAAATAAATAACTTTCAGTTAAAATTAGGAAACAAAACAGAGTTTTCCAGAACTGCCAGACAATGAAGTAGGGTCTCTTCTCAGCCTATGAAAATAAAGGGTTGTCAACTAAAGAGGCTGCTTTTAACTTTTCACTTTTTCTCTCCTATTTAGGAGTTCTGATATTATTTGGAGCTGTTGCATTTAATTTGGTGCCTTCTAGTATGCACTTAAGACCCCTACATATAAAAAGTCAAAACAATTCTGATACTGAGTGTAACAGTTTGTCTCAAGTGGCCCAGCAGAACTGTAAGAGAAAAACATAGTGTGATAAGTCATGAATTGAACATCAAGGACAGACCCACACATATTGGACAATCCAGGATGGTTTAACAGTCTCACCAAATCAAAGCGAAGAATTCAACAATGAGCTTCGGAGGAATAGATTGCTGCTAATAAGTAATGAAGAAAATAATGAGAAAACGCTATTTATGCAGGTGCAAACAGACACTCCTTGATGTGGCTCTTTGGGAACCCTTTCTTCTTCATATTGACCTGGTGTTTCTGTCAGTCAGCCTGTTTCATCACTACCTTAACCAGGAAGCCAGAGCCAAAACACTGTAGACTGCTATCATGAATGCCTCTGACCACATTGCTGAAGTTGGTATAAATGCCCAATTCAGCTTTCTACTCAAAAGAACACTGAACTGAGTTTTACAAAGGTCAATTAATATGGACTAAAGCAACAACAACAATAACAACAAAAAGGCTGGTTTAAATTCTAGCTCTGTATTTCTTATTGTGTGATCTTGGGCTGGGTTTTGCCTTCCTTGTATAATTTCCTCATCTGCAATATAGGCATAAAATATAGGCACGGTATCTACTTTTTAATGGTTGCCTAAATGAAAAGTAATGCATATAGAGTTTAGTATAATGCTGGACCCATAATAAATACTGAATAATCTTCTTTTTGTTTGTTTTTATTTACGAATAATCTTCTGCTGATTTTTTAACAAAGCACAGCTAGTCATTAGTCTACTGGCTGATACTTAAATTAGAATATGAACTAAAAAGTACAAGCTTTTACTTGAATATTGTTAAAAATGGAAACAGAACTTTTTTTTATCTGACAAATCGGGAAAGGAATAAAATGCAACAGTTTTGCTCAAACTATCTAAAAATCCAGTACTATAACATTCTTTCCCTTTCATTAGTTTCTTAAGGAAAAAGAGTGAATTTACTGCATCTTTATAAAAATGAATGTATGCAGTTTCAAATATTCCAATTGCAAATACCATCTGCTTTAGTCAAATAAAACTTGGACACATTAGAAAGCTAAATGACTAAACATTTTTTCCTACTAAAATGTCTGCTAGTATCTATTCAGACCAAATCAGAGTTACACAAGGGAACCAAAAAGCATAACAAAAAATATCAATATGTGTCTTAGGAAACAACTGCCACAGTAGGGAACTTGAAAAAGTCACTGAAGGTGAAAAGATAAAACTAACTTTGGTGCAAAATGAAATACATGTAGTTTTTTCAGGATTTGCATCTTGATTAATCGCAGGAATGACCATGTCCAATTTTAACTCCCTTTTGTAATGGAGGATTTGATGCATGAAACACAGGAAGAATATAAATGACAACATAACTGCAGCTTGTGCCACTCCTGGTGAGGCTCTCCATTTCAGTATGCAACTGCTACCTCAGCTTGTAATAGGGTAAAATAGGCTAAGAATGCTGTTATCAAGAAATCCAAGTGAGGGAAAAGATGATTCTTAAATTTTATTCAAGTTATACCATAGCTCCAATATTCAAAATAGATCACCCATTTCCAAGCTTCTTAAATATTTTCAAATTAAGTGTAATGGCCTTTGAATGCTTTAATACCCCAAACTTTACATGCAACTATATACATATTTTATACATTATATATATTTACATATAACTTTCATTGTATTTAAAAAGCACCCACATCTATATTTTTTCTTAAACTAAGACTTCATTATCAATACCACAATCTTCACCATGATTTCCCCAGGACAATAACCTGAAGGTCTCCCAGCCAGCCATTCAACAATCTCACTTTCTCACCTCCAGGACCAAAGGGTCTAGAACGCCTTCAGAGTGCAGGATTCTCCTAACTAGGAAGTCCCAGAGTTCAGCGACATGAGATTTCTAAAGACAATCAGAAAAAACTCATAATAAACATGAAGGTCTTCTACAAAACTCTGGAATGTGTCTAGAAAAGCTAAGTAAATGATAGGTTCTGTCAGCAGATGTGCTTAGAATAGGTAATAAATGATAGACTCTATCAGCAGACAAACATTGCTTCCTCACACATCTTGACCTCAGATTGGGATCATACTGGGAAAAGATGCCTTCTGCATTCATTTTGCAAAGAGCTTAGAAAAATGGAATTTGGGTTTCCTAAGACTTCTTTGTTGTTCCAGGTATCCCGTAAATAGATCTAACTTCTGAATGTGTTGCTGATCAAGAAGTATCACCAGCACAAGTCTTACCTTATCATTTGAAGCATCAATAACCTGCTTGCTCCTCTAGCCATCGCATTTTCACTACTTACAGCCTACATCATCTTCTTTGCCATTTTCATTGTTGGTAACTTGGCAATACTTCATGTACTGGTGAGTGGATACAATGATGTTAACACAGGTAAATCAGTCATTTAGTAAGTGTTAGTAACAATCTCTCCAAGAGAATACATATTTTGTATTAACTACATAACTTCAAAAAATTACACCAAAAGTTTTGTAAAACCTGCAGTGTTGCCTCTAGTCCAGTTACTCATTTTCACCTCAAGGGAAGGGAAGAGGACTATTTCCATGGGATAGGGAAGAGAGGAAAGCAGAAAAAAAGCTTGGCAGGATTCCATTTTATCATTTTCCCTGGCTAGGTTAGCGTTTGCTTCGGTCCTTCAGCTCCATGAATTCCTCTGGCTCCTCTTCAGACAAAATCTGCAACAGGATTCCCTGACCAACATGGCTTCTCTTACTGAGACTGCTATCTTGATACTGTGTCCTCTAACAAGGATATCCACTCCACTTTTACCCTAAACTGAACTCAAATAGAAGTGATCTACTTGGGCCTAAAGGATAAATCCTCGCCTTGCATGCGCCAGGATCCCATATGGACACATCTTCGTATTGCAGCTACTTTACTTCAATGCCAGCTCTGTGCTTGTGGCCTGGAAAAGCAGTGGAAGATGGCCCAAACCCTTGGGACACTGTACTTGTGTGGGAGACCAGGAAAATATTCTTGGCTCCTGGCTTCAGATGGGCTCAGCTCTGGCCACTGCAGCCACTTGACGAGAGAACCAGCAGATGGAAGATCTTTCTCTCTGTATATCTGACTTTCCAATTAAAATAAGTACATATATATGTACTTATACATATACATATATATATATATACATATTTAAGTAGTGATATATTTAAAACACATCTGCAATCTTAGAACACCAAGTATTCTCAGAAACAGGTCCTCCGCGGTCTGGAGCAGAATCCTAAACATTTCAGCTGTCTAATCAACACTAGCTTAAGGGCTGTGAGACACTGTATGGAGCTTAGGAAAAACGAAGCTTCCTAAAATTAAAATCAATTCCTTGTGGCATCTGATTTTCAAACTATCTGAACGAATAAAACAGTTCCTTTACAAATAAACAGGACTCTGTCTGCACAGCAGAATTACTGTTCCCCACTTTGCCTTTGCTTTCTTTCGTATTATCAGGGCAGAAGATGATTCAAATCGCCCCCAAAGTCAGTGTGACATAAACAGAATTTGCTCTTTTGAGGGCCAAGATGCCTACAGAATTTCATTCTTAACATGATTAACACCAAGTTCTGATCCCTACAGGCTATCTAAGAGTTGTACTGGGCACAGATTTTTGGGACTTGCCAGCTTCTTTGCTGTGATGGCTATCCTTTCCATACCAACCTATAGCAGGTAACAGATTAGCCACATTCTGAGCAACTTGAAAAAGCAATGAAAACACTGATGTAGGATTCATGTTAGCATGCAGTGACCATATCAACTTAAAACAGATATCCCTGCCCTTCCTGTGCCTACTGTCACTCTGAAACAGGAAAATCTGACAGTTCATTCAATAAATGTGTGCTAAGCAGATATTTATAGTCTCTTAGAAGCCTTAGCACAGAAACTGGATCTATGTCAATTTGTCTGGGAGAAACAATCCAGAGTTATCTCAAAGACCAATAATACTTTTAAGGAAAAAAAAAAAAGTAGTAGCATCTTTATATCTAAACAGGCATCAGAGTTTGAAGGCTGCGAGCCCGGCAGCTTTGCTCTCTGACATGCCAGGGCTCCCAGATCTGCTATTTTCAGAGAGAAGGAAGCAAGTCTTTGTGTGCTTTCTGTACCAATGGTGGCACGATACTGAAGGTAAAAATCTCAGGCCACTGGTAAGCATTATAATATACAAGTACCAGAGGAGTTCTGGTTATTTAAGTTTAAGGCAAAGAATAGTTCTACACCTACATTTTTCCCTAACTGTGTATTTTACACTTGGACATTTAACCCAAGACTATTAAACCTTGACTAATCACACAAAATATTTCTAGAGTACAGACATAAACTTTAGCTTCTTACACAGTGTATGTTCTAAATACATTTGAATGTAGATTACTATTACTACGCATCTACAAAAAGGAACTTGACCTAAACCTCGTTTTTTTAAGCCCTGAAGTGAGACAGAAAAGGGATCTGATCTTGCTCCACTATTCATTTTTTTAATAAAATATTTAGTTTATTTTTATTGGAAAGACAGATACACGGAGAGGAGAAACTGAGAGGAAGATCTGTCTGCTGATTCACTCTCAAGCAGCTGCAATGACCGGAGCTGTGCCGATCCAAAGCCAGGAGTCAGGAGCCTCTTCTGGGTCTCCCACATAGAGTTTGGGTCAGACGCTACTGCTTATCAACACCTCCTCCCTTATCCTATGTGACCCTCAGTCTATAAAAGCCCAGGGTGGTGGCTTAACAGCTAAATTCCTCACCTTGAATGCACCGGCATCCTATATGAGTGCCAGTTTTAATCCTGGCAGCCCTGCTTTCCATCCAGCTCCCTGCTTGTGGTCTGGGAAAGCAGTCGAGGATGGCTCAAAGCCTTGGGACTCTGCACCCATGTGGGAGGCCTGGAGGAAGCTCCATATGTCTTATTACTGGCTCTGTGCACCAAGTCCTTCGCTGATGGACAGTGAACATTCCCTTAAGACTAATACAACATTATAAAACAACAACAACAACAAAAAGAAAAGAACATAAACAAACGGGACTACATCAAGTTAAGAAGCCTCTGTACTGCAAGGGAAAGTTAATACAGAAACAATCAACAGAATGGGAGAAAATACTCTCAAATTACACAACAGATGGAGGACTAATAGCCAGGATTTATAAGGAACTGAAGAAACTTAAAAATAGCAAAACAAGCAACCCAGATAAGAAATGGGCAAGAGCATGAACATATATTTTTCAAACAATGAAACTGAAAGGGCTAACAGACATATGAAAAACCAGCTTAGGTTCTCTAGCAGTTAGAGAATTGTAAATAAGGACAACAAGGAGATTCCATCTAACTCCAGTGAGAATGGCCTACATGCAGAAATCAACAGTGATTGTTGCCAAAGATGGGGGTGTGGGAGGGAACGTGCCCTAATGCATGTTGGTGGGAATGCAAACTATCTAACATAAACCACTATAGAACTCAGTTTGGAGATTCCTCAGACAGCTGAAAATCTACTGTTGGACCCAGCACCCCATTCCTGGGATTACACCCAAATGAAATGAAGTCTGCAGACAAAAGTACCTGCAACCCCATGTTTACAACACAATTTGCAATAGCTAATACATGAAAACAACCCAGATGCCCATCAATAGATGAGTGGATTAAGACAATGTAGTACATTTAATCCATGGAATATTACTCAGCCGTAAAAAAAAAAAAAGAATAAAATCCTATCATTTGTAACAAAATGGACCCAGCTAGAGACCATTATGCTTAGTGAAATGAATCAGTTCCAAAAAGACAAATTTATCAATACACACATATACACACACAGGAAATAACACATGTATACAGCATGTACCTTTACTCCTGAATAATTGAATTCCCATTACTATATAATTATAGTTTTACATTATATTATTTTCTTCCTTTTCCTCTATTTGTAATGTCACTCAGTGCCCTAGAATTTTCCAAGCCCATTGTGCCCAAAGTACCAGGCATATAATCTTATTTAAATGATAAAATAACAAAATCACAGCATGTTTAATGATCTATACATTGGTGTGCGCACCTTAAACTACATAAATATAGTTTAATAATATTGAGCACTCTAATATATATATATATATATATACATGACAAAGCTAGCTTGGTGGAAACTGTTCTCTGAAAACTCTGAAGTTCTATGAAGGTTTGAAATCACCTTGTTGGGTAATGACCTTTTTAAACTTATTTAACAAAAACAATAGACTACAGCAGAAACTAGAAAACAAAATACATAACTTTATTGTGAATCTTTTAGTTTATACATGTGCCTAAATTACGTAAAAGTATACAACATATAAAATATGTCTCATTTCAATTAGCCAATGTCTCGACTGCCCTAGCATTATATGTGAGGATAAAGAAAGATTATGACAATATTTTTTTACTCACTAATTAGAAGTGATAAGGTTATTGTTGAAATCATACAGAAAGAAAGATATTTAGTCCACCAGTTGCTCGCAGTTTCTTAAACAAGATCATATAAATATCTAAATTGGTTTAATATCTTGGACCACAACGTCATACTGAGGGGAGAGATTACAGGAAATGTTTGTTGCCCTAAATTACCCCATTAAAGACTGGATAAAGGCATCAGCTTTGTCCCTAACTCCAGCAGCTACTACCAAATAAACATCCACAATGTTTACTTACCAGTTAACATCACTCTCAATAAATGTGGACAGTTACACTGCTGTCTTTAGCATTAACTAAATCAAAAGGTTTATTTGTGGTAAAACATTAAATTCTCAACCAAACTCACATTTTAGCACTGCATGAATCTCATTTTTACTTACCTAAATTTGTTATTAACAAACTATACAGGCTGAAATTCCTATAAAAGATTATAGGTATTTTTAATTAGGAAATCTGGCAAATAGCAAAACTTTTCACCAATCCTTAATCAAAATGCTAGCTAAAAATAACACTTATTACATGAACAGTATTTTTCTCCTTCCTGTATGGAATGAAAAAGAAAAACAGTTAGTATTATGTTAACATTTTTAATAACTCAAAGAAAGAACAAAAGAATCAGAAATCCACAGGAATCATGCAAACCATATTGCTTTGAAAAATATATTTCTGCTTTAAAAAAATACACAGAACATATGGGCAAGAAAATCATCTACACCTTTTCCAACTGTCAATATTTTAAAATTACAGTAGTACCAAAATTGCTTATCAGATCTCTGCTGAAACTGGGAATGAAAGATTTAATTTAAAACTAAACTCCCCAATCTCCTCCTTAGGCTCCAACCCTGTCTATTCCACCCACAGCCCATTCCATCCCTTTCCAATGCTCGGAGACAAATTTATTCTAATTAACAATATGGCTTATATTAGACCAGGTCAGATTTAGGCTTGCTCTAGGTTCACTGATCCAAGAAGCAAGCAGATAGAAGTCCCAGTCAAATGTCACTGCACTTCTAAACCCAGCTACTGTTTTCTTAAAAAAGGAAACACATAGAAAGCATTATAAATACCAACAGTACCTGGAGCAGAAAGGCAAGCATATCATCATATTTTCCAATATAAAAGAGATAAACTATTTATGTAAAACTCCTAGTGTTATACCAAAACATTTGACATGCAAGCTCAAAATGCTGGAGACTGAATTTCATCAAAGGTCCATATTAGCTGCCTAAAACATAAAACAATGCAATTCCCTTCTTGTTTTCCCCAGATCAAACTAACAAATGCATACATTAGGTTAACAATACTCTCATTCACACTATTAAACTTCCAAAAGTAACCATTTATCATAAACTAAGCATTTATTCAATAATTACCAAGCAACTTCTTACCATAACATTTTCCTGAATGCTACATGGGACAGAGAAGTTACTTTCCCCAAATCTTCCCAAATCTCTATGCTCCAGCAGGTATTCCCCTTGCCACGAACAATGCTGGGGCTTGAAAACAAGGACACAGCTATAGAACTTCTAACATGGCATAGAATCTGCATGGTTCTACTTCATGAATTGAAAATCCTGCAAAACCCATATCTCCATTTTCTTACCTTTTACTTGAAGACATTCTGAACCGTACAGCAATTAAAATGATTGTAAAAATATGTGGGTTGGTATTTGAGATAGTCATTTGGCACAGCAGCTAAGACACCACTTAGAACACCCTCATCCCATTTTGGAGTCCCCAGGATCAAGTTTTGCCCTCCTATTAATTCCAGTCTACTGCTAATGCACATCCTTGAAGAAGAATCTGCCACCCATCCATATGTGAGATCTATATTGGATTCTGGGCTCCTGTCTCTGGTGTCAATCAGTCCTGGCCATTGTCATCACTTCAGGACACTAATGTATCTGTGGATGGAAGCTCTCTCTCTTTGCCTTCTAAATAAATAAAAACAAGAGAAATAACAAAAGAATGTGTTTCATTTTTTTAAAAAGTATATCCACTTTTATTCAATTAAAAGAAAAGTGGTTTTTTAAAAATAAATAAATCTTTAAAAAAAGAATTCAAATCATTTCTTATCTAGGAACTGTTTTCCCCACAAACAACAAAGTCATACAGAATTTCATTTGGAACTGATGAATATTTATAAAGACATCAAAAATAAATTTCAAATAGTTCTGTTTTGTGAATGTAAAAGTATTTTTTTTCCCTGGCATATTAACATTATATTAGGCCAAAAAACTGAGTTTCCAAATCCTAATACAGACTGCAAGCCTTGTAATAAAATATGTAGCACAGAGTCAAGACGTACTGGGACTTAAAAAATTAAAGTTCCCAGGAAATCTTCAGGGACCTTTAGCAGTTTCTGTCTTAAAAAGAGCCAGAGGCTCAGCTCTGTTAAACCATGTTTCCCAAGGCTGTTCCCATCATGGCACACATAGGAAATTTTTATATGAAAAACTAAGTAAAAGGACAAGCCTGTTAATAATCAGCTAGGGGTACCAGTGGCTCCACAAATGAGAAGTTCACCCCTGTCTCTACAAACAAAAGTCCATCCTTTTATGCTCAAGTCCAACCACATTTAAGTTATGATTCATTGCTGGCTAGTCACAGAATCTCAACCCCTTATTGAATTAGCATCAAGGAACTCTATTTTTAATGGCCTTCTGAATATATCTCACAGCTAGATGGTCAATAGTAAACTTTTATTTAACCTAAAAGATAATGATTTTGACAATTGCAACAAAACTGGTTTGCAAAACTGTTTAAAGAAACTCAACCAATCTTGAGAGATTTAAACTATCACAGGAAATAACAGACATCCCTATTCTAAACAAAGATTTAATCCATACTAATGATTTTAAAATAAATAAACATTAAATAAACTCATAATGTGGTCCCAGCACAGTAGCCTAGTGGTTAAGGTCCTCGCCTTGCATACTCCGGGATCCCATATGGGCACTGGTTCTAATCCCGGTGGCCCACTTCCACTCCAGCTCCCTGCTTGTGGCCAGAGAAAGCAACAGAGGACAGCCCAAAGCCTTGGGACCCTGCACCCACGTGGGAGACCTGGGAGAGGCTCCAGGCTCCTGGCTTTGGATCATTGCAGCTACTTAGGGAACGAATCAACGGACTGAAGAGCTCCCATTCTGTCTCTCCTCCTCTCTGTATATCTGACTTTCCAATAAAAATAAAATAAATCTTTGATAATAATAATAATAAATTGAAAATGCATGGGAATCAGCTGGGTGCCACTCAGGAAGGAGTAGGCTAAAGATAAGTCAAGGAATGGCAGTGCATACTGGAATCTTAACATTGGAACCAGAATCTAAAATTAAAAATTTATGGTTCATCTGTACCCTATGCTCATATGCTAGAGCCAATTTTATACAGTATTTTTTTATAATTTTAAAAAATATATTTACTTATTTTTATTGGAAAGGCAGATTTACAGAGAAAAGGGGAGACAGAAAGACCTTCCTTCCAGTAGTTCACTCCCTAAATGGTCGCAAAGCTAAAGCCGAGCCAATCTGAAGCCAGGTACAAAGAGCCTTCTGTTCTTCCACACAGGTGCAGGGTCCCAAGGGTCTACTGCTTTCCCAGGCCACAACAAGTAGAGAGCAGGATGGGAAATGGCGCTACTGGGACATGAACTGGCATCCATATAGGGTGCCTCCACTTATAGTAAAAGGATTAACCAACTGAGCTAATTTAATGCATTGGCCCCCAAACTTTACATATAGCACAATTTCATGTGATAAAATTTTCCACTGTCGTGTCATGTCAACAATCAAAATGTCCCCACACTGGAGTATTTTCATGTTGGATTTTCAGATCAGAGATGCTCAATCTGTACTTTCCTGAGATAATAATATGATACAGGGCAGGTGTTGTGGCACAGTGAGAGTTAAATCATCACTCGGGATGCCTGTAACCCATACTGGAAGGACGATTCAAGTCCCAGCTACTCTCCTGCTAATACGCCTGGAAAGGCAGCAAAGGATGGCTCAAGCACTTCAGCCTCTGCCAGCAACCTGGGAAACTCAGGTAGAGTTCCAGGCACCTAGCTTCATCCTAGCCCAGATCTCACTGCTGGGGACATTTAGTGAATGAGCTAGCAGATAAAAGACCCTCTTAAGTACTCTCTCTGTGTGTCTGTTAAATAAGTGCATAAATCTTTAAAAATCCATGATACAGGTACTTGCTTCAGAAGCATATGTACTAAAAAGGCATTACATAATTTGTTATCCTACATTTCACTCATTTGCTCTTAAAAATAGCATCCTAAAACTGCATGCCGTTACCCTCTGAATAGTAATTGGATCTTAATTAGAATTTTAAAAAGCACTAACATCTCAATTATGAAGTATGAATGAGAAATAATTAGAATTTTAAAAAGCACTAATATCTCAATTATGAAGTATGAATGAGAAAAACATTTCAAATAAATGATTCATCTAATTTTACATAAAAATACATGGGAACAGTTCTAAAATATGCCATATGGGTCCATGCCCTGATTAAACATAAGTATACTTAAATCCTAACTGTTTCAAAACACATTCTGACATTAAGATTACCTGGATATGAAATAAATGAAAGGCTTATATACAGTTTTTCCCATCGATTCGTTTTCACTATTTTCAGATGCACAATTCTAAAATTTTGATAGCACTCTAAGCTCCTTGACAACAACCTATTCTCATCCTAGAGGGTTATTTCTGTATCCCACCTGATACAGTTTATATGTAGGCACTAGTAAATTTTCTTACCAATAGAATGAAGACAAGAATAACAAAGATAGTAAGGAATGCTCTTGCCTTCCATGCTTTCTCCTTTCGAGAAATTACTGAAGAGTTCAAAGACTGCTCACCTATTTCTTAGAGATCTAAATTGCAAAATAAATACAAAGACGTATCCTACTTGCTTTCACTCTACTCTCTTATTTGTAAGAAACACTTAACTGAGGTCACTGGCCAAACTAGGAGTTAATAAGAAAAAAACAAAAATCAATGTGGTTAGTTGAATTCCCATTCATTAATTTGTTACACTAAAGCAGGAAATATGAAACTATTTTTAAAAATAAAAAATTTAGGTCTTGGGGCTGGCATGATAATATAGCGAGTTAAACCACTGCCCACAACCCCATCTTCTTGCTAATGTGCTCGAGAAAGCAATGGAGGACAATCTAAATACTGGGGCCCCTGCACACCCCGGGTGACCCTGATGTGGCTCCTAGGTCCTGGGTCAGGCCTAGCCCAGGTCCAGCTATAGTGTCCATTTGGGGAGTGAATTAGCAGATAGATCTCATGTTCTGTCTCATCCCTCTTCCTCCACAATAAATCTGCCTTTCAAATAATTTTTTTTCTAAAAATTCTTAGAGCCATAAAAGCAAAATAGAAGGAAAAATATTCACACATA